GGGATATAGCAGCCCTCTGCTGTGTGGCTGAAAGTTTCAAATACCAGTCTTCAAATGGATATTTTGGCTCTTGGATGCCCTTGCCCAAGCCTTTAGTAAACAGAGCTGGTCTCCTGAAACTATTTCTATAAACTGCAGATGACCTGGATGTTACATTGAATTCTCTTATAACCAGAAATTGGGTTTGCTCTGTCTCCAGTCTACTAACGATTTTCCACTACTTTCCATCTTCTAGATATTAATGCTTGCTCATTCGACCAAAATACTTAGGAAATTTAAATCTTATAACAAACGGTTACGTTTATTGCCGAATCGGAATAACAATCTATTGGTTTTTGTACCTCAACGCTGTCGCAGGTCCATTAATATTTATATACACGTTTATGATTATGTATTCATCACCAGCGCTGTTGTATTGTTACTTGATCATATAATTAAAATTTTAGTTTGAGTAAAACATATTTATTTTCTTGAGGTTTTGAACACTTATTTATTTTAAATATAAGTGTAAGAAAATCAGTACGAGATTTCAAAATGCAATTCAGAAACGGGATCACATTGTAATGGCCCATTAGTTAATATCTCACAAACACTGAATGTTGAACCATCGTTTGTGTTCGCTCCCTGTCGTGTCTGCCCATTCCCCCCACACTTTTGTTCATTGCTTTGTCTACGCTACCCACTTTGTCTACGTTATCAGTCGATTAACATTTAGATTTCAGGCATTAACTTAAGTGCAGAAGTCTAGTTACGTGTTCAGTTGCAGATATTTATCATAATTAATTATATCATTGAACAAGGGGGGGGGTGGAATTTTAATCAGTGAGTAATTTTTATTTTCAGATTTTCTTTTAATTTTTATGAATAGTACATATAATGTAAAACAAATTTGAACTAAATTGAGCAATTATAGAGTTTTCTTGAAATAAGTGAAGGTTCTAAAACGGAAAGAGGAAAAAATGCAGAATAAAAGAATGCTAATATGAAAGTATAATTAGTTAGATTTCTCAAAAAATGATAATATAAAATACAGATTTGTATAAAACCTGAAGCCAGCCTTAACTGCAGCATTATCAAAGTCTGTAGTAACAGGGAAGAAATGTATTTAGGAAGGGAATTATGGTATAAATGCAGAGTTAGACGAATGGGAGGGACGAACAGCTCATGAAGTTTAATAATTTATCTTCTAGATGAGTGACAGTTGAATATAGATTGCGTAGCATCAACGATAGATGTCTTGGATGATTGTCTGAAGCATGGCTTTCTGCAGAATTTCTTCACCGATCCAGAATTCTTCCGTGTAGATTACAGTGATGCTAGACGAAGCATTTGTCTCGTAATCGTATCACATACGTGCTATATGAGTAGCAAATTGAACAGATGGAGAAAACGATGCACGTTTTTCATGGAGGAACACTGTCCTGTCGAAGGAGAACATCGCGGATATGATTCAAGAAGGTTCGGACTTCAGCTTGCAAAATTTATGAAATGTATCACTTAGCTTTTATGGCACGTGCATAAAATGTGAAAGTGAATGAAAACTTAAAAATACAATATTATTCTCTACAAGTCTTTAACATTTCCGTTTAATTAAACAATGATCTGAGAAAGTTATCTAGTTGTCTATGAAACTGAGGCTTAACTCTAACAAAAAATACTTTCCTCTGGTGGAATAAATTTGAAGAACGCCAAATATGTGTAACGCCTATAGGTATATATAAGATTATAAGTGCGTTTTCAATAAATTTTAAATCTTACAAATGGCAACGTGCTTTCTTTATTTACTTCGAAAACAGAATCGAAATTATCACTCCTAGAGAAATTCTATATTAAGGTTAGGCTAACATTTACTTCTGATTATTTTACTTAACTAATGTAAGAACTGTTTCTTACTAAAAATGCTAGGACTACAGATGGAGTAAATAAAGATTAATTGTAATCAAGGTTATTTTAGAGTTTTGTAAGTAGTATATTAAGCGGAAGTTTTAGAGTTTTATAAGTAGTATTATTTTGAAAGTAGTTTTAGAGTTTTGTAAGTAGTATTAAGGAAATTAGTAAAGATGTGGTGGTGGTTACAGCCGAAAACATCGCAAACGAAAACATCGCGGAGAAAACGTCGCGGAGAGAACAACGCAAGGCGAAAACGTAGTGCTACAAAACATCGTGGGAGAAAACTTCGCAAAGAGAAAACATCGCAGTTCTAAAACATCGTGGTACAAAACATCGTCGTCGAAAATATCGTGGTAAAAAATAAAGTATCTACAAATCATCGCATGACAATAACATCGCAGACATGCTTTTTTCAGGCTATAATAACTGTAAATGGATATTCCCATAATGATTTGTGAGCGCAATATGGAAAGAAGGATAATTTTTACTTTCAGATTTTTTATTAATTAATAAATTTTTGCTGAGAAAGTAAGAAAGAAACTTAAGCATAGAAAATTAATGCAACTTATAGCACTTAATAGAATTTTAAACCGACATAGTTAACCAACAAAGGCCATTAATAAATCGTTTTTTATAAAGTTTTTAACTGGTAAATTTTCATGAAAAGTATAATCTATAAGTTGCATTTAATTTTCTATGCTTAAGTTTCGTTCTTGCTTTTTCAGCAAAAATTTATTAGTTAATAAAAATAATGTGAAAGTAAAAATTATCCTTCTTTACACCTTGCGCTCACAAATCATTATGGGAAAATCCATTTATAATTATTAAAACCTGAAAAAAGCATGTCTACGATGTTATCGTCATGCGATGATTTGCAGATACTTTATTTTTTACCACGATATTTTCGACGACGATGTTTTTAAACTGCGATGTTTTGAACCGCTTTATTTTCGACGACGATGTTTTGCACCACGATGTTTTAGAACTGCGATGTTTTCTCTTTGCGATGTTTTCTCCCACGATGTTTTGTAGCACGACGTTTTCGCCTTGCGTTGTTTTCTCCGCGACGTTTTCGTCCGCGATGTTTTTGCCGCGATGTTATCGGCGGACACCGTGGTGGTATATGAAAACTGAGGCAGTATAATTGAAACAGTTCTGCTCTAGCGATTATTTGGTTGTTGCAGATGGAAAATACATTGATCATTTTCAAAGCTTCTTTTTCGTTATCATGAAAAACATTTTTCTTAATTTTATTATCTGAAACAGAAGCTTAGTTTTCTTTCGGTATGGCATATAACCTGTATTGTTATATCTTATATTAGAAAAGGCGAAGATAAATTAATGTGTATTGTGAGAATGCACCAGCTGATTAATGTTTAATAATATTTAACAATGTTTAACAATGTTTTTACATGAAACATTGTGTACAGTGAAGTACATTGTCTACGTTAATTTTGTTAACTTTCTTCTCAGTTTTACGCAAAGTTTGAATTATGTTCTAAAATAAAATAATTGATCTATCTTCAGTAATATGTAGTTAATATAATTTAGTTATTCTTTAATTTTCTCTAGTCTCCATTCAGTCTTATCGCCAAGTCTCAAAATGTTTATAGTAATTTAGAGCTGGATTTCTACTTTACGTTTTAATTATCTCATTCTCATTCTCATGCGATTCATATCCCAGAGAGTTTCATGCTTTCGTTTATTCGATTCGTTATAGAATTGAGGTCTTATATTATAATAGGCGAACATTTTAATTTAATTACAAGGTTTATAATAAAACATATGAAATGTTTTCTTAATTTTTAATATGCGCTAAGCTACTTTACGTATGAACAAATTATTTGTATATTGATCGATAAATTAGATTAATTAGCGATTAGATAAATAGGATCAATTATAAAATAGAGATATAATTAAATCTGCTTATAGAAAGAACTTTCCATTACCGCTGACAAATTTAAAGCTGTCATTTTATTTATCTAACTTTGGAATAATTAATAAAACGAACTCGATAATTCTTTTTGTACTATTTCTGAAATACAAATTTCATTTAGAAGTATATTCTTACTAATGTATCTTAAGTATTATTGCTTAGTATTATTGTGAGCTGTTAACGATATTATGAATTGTTTAAACTTTCGGTTGTTTTTTTCCGAATATCTATAAATTAGCTATCGTTTAATCTAATTAAATATAATAATAATTAACTGATGCAATGGATTAACAAGCGTTTAATTTTTTGTTATTCCTTCATAGCTTTTGGAAAAATAAATGAAAAAATTTTGATTTCATAAGTATTTACATAACATGTTAAAGAATTTGTATCATTTTTGTTATAGAACAACACATGTCAAGCAATGTTCTGTAGCAAGATATTTGCACCAATTTGATGCCTTGGCGAGGAAACATACTTTTGTCATCACTTCCTTTCGACTATGGTAAACATAAGAATAATATCTATTATTCCAATGAACAAGGAAAGAAAGAGTTTAAAAAACTTTTGGACCTTTTTTGTTCTAAGATAACACGTTCTAAATAATTCTATACTTAAACATATACGCCCAATATTTCCTGGTGGCCAGCGTTAATTTGTGTTATTCTTATCTCTCCTTAGAGTATTCTCATTTTCAAAGTATTTTCAATAATTATTTGAAGTCTATTGTTCTATTTTCTTCTTTGTTTTTATTGAAATGCCTAACCTAAACGATATACCTATATATTCAGAAAACTTTGACCTGATTCGGAAAGCGCTGATGACGAATGCATGTTTTCCACTGAAAATATCAATCTGGTGCATGCATCTTATCTTACCAGAGAAAATTACATATTTGGAGCTTGCTTTCTTATAACGAAAAAATCTGAACCGCATGTGAAATTACTTCTTTTTTATTACTATAAATTTGAAGCTGTTCATTTTTTATTTTTGTAAGATAAATACATTAATAAATTAAATATTTGTAATATAATATAAAGCTATTTTACATATTTTAAGCATATTATTAGAAACTGTTTGAGTGTGCAATAGAGAAGAACCATTTTATATAAGGAATAATAGTTTTTGTCTGCATATAAAATGCTTTCTGACAATCAGTTTAATTGTTGTCTAGCTGCCAGTGCTCTTGAAGCCGAAACTATGACAACCAAAAGAATTGCAGTTATTGGAGCTGGGCCAACAGGTCTTTGTGCAATAAAATGTCTTTTGGAAGAAGGTATGGAACCAGTCTGTTTCGAAAGAACAAATCACATTGGAGGACTCTGGAGGTATCACGATGAAGATATCGAAGGACTGGCATCAGTTATGAAAACCACCGTTATCAATAGCAGTAAAGAGATGACAGCTGTAAGTGATTTTCCTCCCCCAGAGGATGCACCAAATTACATGCATAATAAGCAAATTTATAATCTACTTAAAACGTACTCAGAGACATTTGATGTTGAAAAATATGTACATTTTCATAAGGAAGCGGTCGAGGTGAGTACAAATTAATATTTTAAAAAGTGTAACATTATAATAAGTATTTGTTTATTTGCAATGCTCATTTTACATGACTATTTGCTTTTCTACTTGTTAATAATTATTTCATTTAGAGATTCTTTAGTTTTAAAATATTTAGTTCTCATAATTCTAATCTCAGAAGAAAATAACTTTTATCTAATCCAATTGCGACAAGTTTCCCGAAATCAAGCTTTATAATTTGGATAATTCCTCTTAATATTTTACTGCAATATGCAAAATACTTAAAAAAAATATATGAAAAAGGAATAAAAAATTCAGCAAAAAGATAACTTATCTTTTAAATCATGAATAGAATCACATAAAATATTTTGAACGTTTTAACTCAGTTTAAGGTGCGTCTGTGTGTATTTTACATGGTTGCGCAAAGACTAGAACAGTCAAAATGAGTATGAATAAGGTCACATGTTGTTGTGTATCTCATGCTATTACTGAAACTTAAGATACATTTTCCACTTTATATTTCCCAACACGAAATTTCCTATCTTTCAGCATTCATTACCATGTTTAAGTATATTTAATTTATCCTTATTTAAGTTTCATTAGGCTCTTAGTGGCCAAGCAGTAAAGTCACTGAGCACTGGCATTATGACCTGGGTTCGATTCTACGCGAAATGACTGGAAGCACGGACGTTTTCGTGGTTTTTGCTATGTGTGATGTTTCAACAAGCCAAGTTTCTCCTAGAAAGTCCTCTTAGGCAGATAGCCTACTGCGATCTGCCGTGATCAACTAAACCAAACCAAATTTAACTTTTATTAAAAATAATAGTGCTAAGGATCACCAGAGCAATAAATGTGGTAAACTGTTCATATCGCATAAGTAGTAGCTGCGCATTGATGTCGCTGTGAATAAGCGGAATCAATCCAGAAATTGCCTCTCTTAGATTTTAATTTGCTTAAGCGGATGAATTTTCAGCTTCTGAGTATGAACACTTCTCTGTCTCTTTGCACTCCCATGAAGATAACAGCACTGCTATTATGCTTAAGCTATTGTTGCTTGGTCGCCAGGAGGAAGAAATCTACTACCTGTGCACCATGACTAATGGCTGGTAGGGTAGAACAGGCACATAATTTTAAAGCAGCTTAAAAATAGCAAAGCAGCTTAAAAATAGTTTTAAACCGGATCTACAGTAAATAGCCACGAACATTCAGTATGAAGTTGAGCCACGGTAAAGGACTTGGTCGTTCAAACCACTCAATTAAGATACAAATAGATAATTAAGATACAAAATCGAAGATTTCTTTGATTATGTAGCAGCATAACTTGCTTCAGTTTAATGAAAAGCAAGATAAGCTTTGATGTGGAATATTTAGATTCGACAACACTCGCGAGGGCTATTTGCTTAAGGGGAGGGATGCCTTTATTAAGGGCATCATTTAAGGGTCTACTTTAATTTGCATTCACGTTATATACGGGATAAACCACGAAAACTGCCATATATCACCACTTACTCTGGAATCAAAATCCTGGTTAATGTAACAGTGTTCAGTGACTTTTCCGCTCAGCCGCCATGCATTACTGTACACTAATGAGATAAACACTGCATTAAATTTCACTGTTTTACTTTGTAATTCTACTAAGACGCATATAATTATGATATGTTAAATTTAACATTTTATGGTACTTATTGAAGTGAATTAGGAAAGCTGGCTGCTAACAAACTACTAAATTTAGCGGAGATCCTGTAGAAAGTGCCCCAGTCATTCCTGCAGATTCTGAAGGAGATGAAGCCTCTTTATTTAATAAACAACTATTATCCAACCCACTTTGTTTTTGAGCTTCGCAAAGGTGCTTTTGTCAATTTTTACTATTTTGCTACATTCTCCAGTTTTAACGAAAGATCTGTTTAAAATATTTGGAGTAGAAATTTCGTATAAGTAATTGTACCAATTTATTATTATTTTGTCGGCCACATTTAGTTGAGCGTATCGTGCCCGTTAAACTTAGAAGGCAGGTCTCAATTTTTTTCAATTACTTTTTCATAATGGAAGAAAAAATACAACAGTAACAGTTAATTTATATCCTTGTTCATGAAAACAGCGCGTGGGTTATCCAAAATCAATCGGAGCTAATAATTAGAGCTAAATTGAACTGCTTAGCGACAGTTTCATGGTCGACGGGATATATTACAAGGTATTTCTCCCGTACCTAGCGTGCCTTCGTTTTGTAGTGGTTCTGCACGCTGGGCCGGTATTCCAGAGGTCCATGGTTCGATTCCCGGCGAAGGCGTTTGCTAATTTTTCCTCTTGCCTGCTTCCAAAAATATCCTAATGTCTCTACAGTGGCGCTCGAATTAATACGGGATTCTGATGGCCAATGAAGAAGTATCTCCACAAGGCTCAGAAGTGACGCCCGAACTAAAAGGATGTTGGATGATGATGCTCCTCACCCAGGATTTGGCGATTGGGTTCCCTAAAAAACCCCCAGTCGCCCTTTAAAAGAGGGAGTATATAAGGCATTACTCCCGCCTTCCTAGAGTGCCTTCGTGGTGTAGTGGTTCTGCACGCTGGGCTGGTATTCCAGAGGTCCGTGGTTCGATTCCCGGCCAAGGCGTTTGCTAATTTTTCATCTTGCCTGCTTCCAAAAAATTCCTAATGTCTTTACAATATAATTACTTATATTATGTATATACAGATACAGAGAGCTGTAATTTTTACTCAAATGGGACAGGAAAATATCATGTAAAGTAGTTTAAGATATATAATACAATTTAGTAACTTTGCTTGTATATAAATAATTTTCAATGATAATACGTAATGTTATTGCATTACTAATTTCATTGAATTTTAGGTGAATATGGCTGAAAATTATGAAGAAACTGGACGTTTGCTGGTCGTTGTAAGAGACACTGAAACTCAGGAAACATCAAAAGACATTTATGATGGAGTAATGGTATGCATTGGCCATCATGTTTATCCAAACATTCCAGCCTTCCCTGGAATAGAAAAATTGAAAGGAAAGATTATGCATACCCACAGTTTGAAAAAAATTGGTGAGTTTGAGGATCAAGTCGTGGTCGTCGTTGGCGTCGGAAATTCTGGAATGGATGCTGCTGTTGAAATAAGTACTGTAGCAAAACAAGTAAGTATCACAGAACTGACATTTGAAAGTTAATAATTAGTAATTTGTTTACATAATAATTGCGGATATTTTGTTTTGAACTTGCCAGACGTTAATGTGACTTTGAATCATAAATTTCCATAAAGTTTGCCATTTATAAGCATACATTTCAGAGAATGTTAGGACCTAAATAAAGCTACGGACAGAAAAACTTCGAATACGTTATTGAAAATCATATTTTATCTTCTATAATACATCCAGATGTTTAGTAGATTCAAAATGTATGTCACTGGGTTTCTAATGGATGAGCATATAGACAAGACGAATCTAAGTCGCTTAATTATTTAATTAAACTATTTGTGATGCATCCTGATGGCTAAATGATTATTTACAGATGACGTATTAACAGACGAAGCATTACAGTGGAAGTTAGTACGTCTTTTATTAGGATTTGTCTTCATTTTCTTATGGCATCCTTCCGTTAATCGCTTCATACTCTCTCCCTCTCTTTCTGTCCCATCATCGCTTACCTCTCTCTCTCTCCAGTAGTGTTGTTACCCTCCTGATATTTACACATATATTTGAGGCATAAAGTAATTAAGAAAGCCACTTTAAATTTTTTTCACGTTAGGTACTGAACGCAGAAAACAGGATTTCCTTAGATAAAAAATGCATGTGTTCAAGCACTCAGTTGCTATGCAGCAGTTCACAGGTTCAACTCAAAGAAATCGGCATTTTGGACTGCCGGAGACTTTCCATCCTCAACAGGGGGTTTTAAAGAGCCCACCACCGACTGAATGTTAACGCCGCTAAACACTCGTAGTTCGATTCCAGGTGAACGATCTGGATGCATGGGAGTTTTCGTGGTTCTAACCCATGTGTAACGTGGATGCGAGCAAGTTTCCATCAGACAGTCCTGTACGAAGATATCTCTTCTCTAAGGCAGAGATCCTTCGCGTGCTTAGCTGTAATCAAATAAACCAAACCATTTTCAGCAGATGGCGTCACCACCACAGGACAAATTCATCGCTCATCGTAGGGGCCAAAGTTGTATTTTACAATAAAATATTTCTATATTTGATGATAAAATGCACAATACCCTCCGATGGTAAGCCTTAGAACTAACTATTTAGATTAGTTAAATAAAGTTAGCAAAGCAACAATCTTGTGTTTGACGTAGATTTAGTCGAAAACTCAATCGATTCCGAGGGCAAGCGGTTACATTTATGATGGACAAATCCTTTTCATCAGCAGCAATGAAATCCGCAACACTGGACAGCAGCGGAAAAAAATATGTGTGTTAAGAATGAAAGCTTTACCAAAGAAGGAGGGGCTCCGCCAGACCGCAGGGAAAGGAAAATACTTTAAGTTTACTTTGCACAGGCCACCTATCGAGCTTTAATTCTTTTTTGAGATTGCGCGAAATAGCTATCGAACCGGCGTCGAAGATTTAGCCTTAATACATTTTTGCTCATGCGCAAAATAATTCTCGAGCCGATATCGAAGGTCACGTTTGTCAAGAGCTCAAAGTTCCGTGATACTATTTTTTCCCCGCTGTATGGACGTAAATCAAATCAGTGATCGGCATAAGTAGATTAATCTATGAATTGTTTATATTGAGTAACGAAAATCTACGAAAATCCAAGTTTAAATTATTGAGAACAGTTTTGTTAAAGAACGAATCCCACGAGTTCCTTGATTTTGTACTGTAATACTCAATTTCCAATACATACGGCGATTTGGCCACTAGAATTTATTCCTCCGCGATATAGCGGCGCAGTAGCCAAACGGTTTGTATTATTTCCATAGAAATTTTCCTGGTTTACATACACGTTATCTGCAGCTGAACTGAACTTATCAATTATTAGTATTCCTCTTTACTTGCTTTGGAAACATTAACTGTCCTGACTCGAAACAGGGAGCTTACTAAAGCTATGTTCAATAAATTGTGAAGTAGACAATACACACAGGAAGAGTATACGAAACCCTTTATTTTTCTATCTTTACAGAGCCTTTCGGAACTTCGGAATACAGAGACCAACCACTTGTGGTCTGAACGTAAGAATATAAAAATACTAACTAAAACTCTAACTAAACTAACTTTGGATTAATATACAAGTGCCTACTTTAAGATTGGCCGTAAATTAACAAAAAGCCGTATGTAGTACAGAAAGCTGCTAAAACTACGATACGTTTAAAATTATCACGAGGATTAAACCTCTGACCTTGAAGGCAACCAGCAACCGAGTAAAACTACTATGGCAAGCGGCCTGCTTCTAATAACTCCTTCCTCTCTCTTGCTTGGCAAAAAGCCACAACGTAAGTACTTGGCGTTAGCAAGACAAATTTGCATAAATAAGTTAAACGCTTTTAATTCTGGCCGGAAGTAGAAAATAAGAAGTGATAGTAAAGATTTAAAATAAAATAAACGTTAGTAAAACTTAGGATCCTTACAAACTGAACTCATCTAATGCTGCTGCGCGTGCCTCTTCATAAAATAAAGTCCAAAAAACGCATGACTTAGTCTGGAACTTAAAACCACCAGCGGCGACGGAAGAAGGGAGGAAAGGGATGACCAAATGTCACAAGGCCTGTGAAAGAAAAATCTTAGGATAGTGAAAAAGCTGTGGAGACATTAGGTTATTTCGAAGCAAGAAAGATGATAAATGAGCAACGCCTTCGCCGGGACTCGAATCACGGGCCTCACGAATACGCGCCGAGCCTGCTGACCACTACACTACGAAGGCATGCTAAGAAGGCGGGAGAATACCTTATATATTTTCCCTTTTAAAGGGCGACTGGGGTTTAGGGGACCAATCGCCAAATCCTGGTGGCGAGAATCATCAGCCACCACCCTTTTAGTTCGGGCGTCACTGTAGAAACATTAAGCTATTTTGAAGTGGGAGACGTGAAAAATGAGCAATTGTCTCGCCGGAATTCGAGCCACGGACCTCTCGAATATGCGTCGAACGTGCTGACGAGATACACCACGAAGGCATGCTAAGAAGGCGGGAGAAATACCTTATAAAGCAAGGTTAGCAAGAGCGAGAGAGTGGAAAGTCTTCATGTAAAAACTGTGGAATCAATGACACAGTACTAAAATACAATACTAAAAATACAAAAGAAAAATACAGTACAAGATCAGTAGTAAATAATACGAAATTTCAATACTAAACACAGTGTATACACAGCAACAAAAGAAACAAGTGAATGTAAAAAGAGGGTATATATATATATATGTACAATCAACCAGGGGAAATGGAACTTTGAATCACGAGTGAAGTGAGGAGCGTATTGACGGAGGTTACTTCTTCACTGAAAATCTTCTAATAAAAAATTTTGAAAACACCAGATGATCACAGATTTTGACCTTGTTGTAAAAGTTCCTATTAGCTTCGTTCAAAAAATCTTCTGTGCTCTCAATTCTAAGATCTTCACGCGGCCTTTTGTTGGTGACATTATAGTGAGCGAATGCAATAAGTCTTAGGTAACGATTTTCCAACCTCTGCAGCTTGAGAATAGCATTTCTAGATGCTATTGTCCATGCGCATGAAGCGTAATTGATTATAGGTCTGAGGACAATAAAATACAAGAGTCTCTCTTTCCTATTGTAGTATTTCCCGATTAACGGCATTAGGCTATTCATAACGCCTATGGCTTTGCTCTGAGTTTTGTTAATATGATCATTCCAATTCATTTATTCATTCAGTGTGATACTCAAATATTTGGCTTTTCTGACTTGGAGGATTTCGTCATTAGAAAGATGAAGTTTTCTGCTAAGAGGCGTATTGGCAAGTTTTCTGAGCACGGTTGATAGTTACGACTTGTGTGCGTTAATAGAGTTTCGCCAATTTGTGCACCATTCTTCTATCAAAGGAGTAATACTTAGTACTTTCTCTTAACTGCATAATTAGCGTTAGCAGACATATCAGCTAAGGCTGTGTCGTCGGCGTAATATCCTAAAAACTGATTGTTGACTAAATGAAACTTGCACGAGTCCGCAGCAAAGAATAAATAGAGAATGGGTCCAATTATGGAGCCTTGCGGAGCAAGCACGAAGGTCACAGTGTTCTTTACCAACCTCCCGAAAAATTTCCTGTCTGTGATAAAGGAATTAATCAGATCAATGACCTCTTTACTGAAGTTCAGTTGAATGTGTTTGTAGATAAGACCGTCATGCTAGACACGGTCTGAAGCTTCTGCAACGTCCAAAATGAATAAGGCGATGCTATTTCTGCTCTGCAGCTATCCCAACCCACTGCTTCGTGGTGAAGAGGTTCTTTCTGAACCCAAATTGTTCGGGAGGTAGCAAATTCATGTAAGGCTGGATTCACTTGAAGATTATACATCGTAAAAGTTAGCCAATCCTGTTAATAGACTTATGGGCCTGTATCCATTTGCTTAGTTGCATCTTTCCAGGTTTTGAGAATGAGAATGCTGTTCGTAATTATCCACTGTTGAGGGAAGTAGGAATGAGTTAAATAAGCGTTTAAAATACCTGTTATTTGTTCACGAAATTCTGCGAGAGATTTCTGATAGCAAGATTGCTTATTTCATCATATCCCTGTGCTGTCTTAATCTGGAGTTTGTTAATGATGTGGCTTATTTCACTAGGCATGTGAGATCTGCGATGTTCCTTACAGTGCGTTAAGCAAGTGTAGCATACATCGCGGACGAAGTAGATATCACGAGGCCTGGCATTTGGCTTGAATTGATTCTCTATATGATCAGATAAATCTACAGACTTCTCTTTGCCGTTGAGCGCTGCTTGATTGTTCGTGCATATCAGGTGATTGTATGCTTATGTGCGCTTTAGTCCCTTGGTGAAAGATCAGAAGAAACCTATCGTGGCGTCTAAACTGAGAATTGTTTCTTCCCATTCACCTTTCCTAAAATTTTTAACATTCTTGTCAAGCTTGTTGAGTGATTTCTTTAAACTTGTGTCCCAGGGGTTAGGTTCCACAATTTCTTATAAGATTTTTTTTTTATCTGTTCTCTAAATTTTGCGGGAAGCTGAACATGCGCTGTTCTTTAGGTACCGAACGAGAAGGTTCATTAATTGAATGAATATCATGAAACAATCTCCAATCAGTAAGATTTTTGTGGCCAGATTATTTTATTTTAATGGTACCAAGTGTGATTAAAATTGGCACCTGATATGAAGTGAGTTCTTGCTTGACCTCAAGCCCCATCGGAATAGATGTATTTGTTAAGACAAAGTAGAGAATATCTGCTTTCCTTGGACGATTTGGACAATATGTGAAGTTTTTCGGAGCATAGATGGGGGCCGGATAGTTAAGAATGAAGTTGTGAAGTATTCCTCCATTTTTGTTCGATCGACGACACCCCCAGTCTCAGTGTTTCCCGTTGACATCCCCAGCAAGGATGACCGGCTTATCAACTAGAAGAATGTCCTTGAGAATATTATCACTAAGTAAGTTATCAAATGAACTAAAGGGAACAATGCCGTAGCTGGGAAGGAGAAGAGAGACAATGATCTTTTCATAACTATCATTTTCATTTATTAGACAAGATTGTATTGAGTTTCTGACATAAGTCGCTACTCCAACACCACTGTGACTCAGACGGTCGGATATATACGACCCATAATTTGCAATTTTAATATTTCTGCAGGATGCGGCCTCATCAAAAAAGGCCTTTACCATAAAGAATTTTCGGCACTTAAATATTACCTCGCTAACCGTGAAACTGTCACTCAGTAGAGCGAGTTAGAGTCAGTTATGGATGAGTGAGACGTAACAACGCACTCAATATATCTGGATTTAGGGTCTGATGTAATTCCGATGATGATGTCGTTTCTATGACAAAGTGCAATTATATAGCTTCGAAGCTGTCAAAGCTTCGGAGCTTTGACAGCTTTTGCAACCTCGGCAGCTCTATCAGTATAAAGTAGGTCCACTGGGTCTTCAATGCCGATGTTAAACAGTCTGGCCTGGATTGCTGGGCAGCTGAAGATGTGATGGCGAGACAGTGGGATGTCATCTGGGCAATGAGGACAAATGTTGGTGTAACTACGCTGTAATTCCGATTGATTCTCGATATGCCACGTTTTGTTTTGTGGACAAAGATATAAATTAACTGTTACAGTATTTTTCTTGGATTTTGAAACACATGATTAAAATTTGAGATCATGTTTCTGTAGAACAGCAAACAGTGGATTATTGTGAAAATTATGGAATTCCACTATTCAGAAAAGTGAGTATTTATGGTCACGAAATGGTGACCTGTATACGGCAGAAAAACTATGAATGCACTGGCAGAACTACCTGCAAACGTTTTATACTCATAGCATTCTAAACATCAGTAAAATCGGAAGGACTAGTAAAATAGTAGAAATCGACGAAAGCCTTATTGCAAAGCACAAAAGCGAAAAGAGTGGAATACTGATTGTTTAATAAAGAAAGAATTCCGCCGAAAAAATTGGCGCAACTTCGGTCTCAGCAAGCTTTTACGATTTGGTGACAGCCAAATTTCAAGGTTGACTAAGTACCGAATTTTCATTTATATTTTTTGTAACTTTCGTAGATATGGTTACGAAATAAAAAAGGAAAGAATATTAGGATTACTAGTATTTTTTTTAACTGAAACATGAGTGGAAATGGGCCCGAATAAATTTCAACATTCCTACGATGATATACGCATGCACAATATTTGAAATTAAGATACACAGCCTTAGAAAATCGTGCGATGCTTCATGAATTATGCTGCCTATAGTTATGGGTTATTCAATTATAGCAAAGTACACGAGGGCTATCTGCCTAAAGGGAGGGATGCCTTCGTGGAGGACTTTCTAAGGGAAACTGGCTCGTATACACGTTACACATGGGGAAAACCACGAAAACGCCCATGCAGCCAGCCCGTTCGCGGGATTCGAACCTGGGACCGAACTACCAGTGTTCAGCGTCTTTACCGCTCGGCCGCTGGTGAGCCCTATGATGCCTATAGAATCACAGGCGAGAAACTTATTACATAAGTATAGTTTCTTAACCACGGAAAATATTTTTTACGATGTTAATTTTTATCTAAATTCAGAGAGTTTTATTTAAGAAGGTATAAGTTTAAAGAAATTGTGAAAAATTGCTGATTTTACGATTTATAGCATTTTTAAGAAATATTTTGATTTAGCGCATTTTGAGCACCTATGTGAGTGCATTTTAGAAAATATACATTAGATCTGTTGTAAAAAATATGTAACTTACCACTCATTTTTAGAATTTTATTAAAAATTACTTTTACTGTATAAAAACCAACACACGTGACGTAACTACGCATTTATTACTTCCTACCAATTATTTGAGAAAAACGAATCTATATTGTAGATACTTGCAGAAAGGGAATATTTTGCAGAAAGGGAAAATTTGTTTTTAAGGGCTTTTTTAAATATCAAAGGTGAAAAACATTAAAATGCATTTCATAATGAAAAATTCCTTAAATACAGGATTAGTAATTTTAATAATCATTTACGGTATAAATGACATCCTAATCTTAACTTTTATGCTTACTGGAGTGATCTGAGAATTATTGATTATCACTAATTCACTATCAGGCCAATTCACTAATACATTTTCATTTTCTTTAGGTATACCTTAGCAGCAGGAAAGGAACATGGGTTTTGCCCCGTGTGGGCCCAAAAGGTTTTCCACTGGACGTGGCTTTGACTAGCCGTTTCACGAATATACTCATGCACATACTTCCTTATTTTCTGGTTTGTTGGTTTTCTGAAAAAGTTTTAAATTACAGCTTTGATCATGAAATTTACAGTCTTAAACCTAAGCACAGAATTTGGAGCCAACATCCTACAGTCAGTGATTCACTTCCACTGAAAATCCTCACTGGAAGAGTTTTGGTACGAAAGAACATTCGAGAATTCATTGAAAATGGCGTTATTTTCGAGGATGAAGATGATGTAACGGAATGCGATTCAGTAATTCTAGCAACAGGTTATAGAATTCAGTTTCCTTTCCTTAATGAAAAATTAGCAACCATAAAGAATAATGAAGTGCATCTGTATAAATATATCTACCCACCACATTTGAAACATCCGACTTTAGCCATTGTAGGATTAATTCAGTCTGTGGGTGGAGGGTTCCCTATTGGTGAAGCCCAATGCCGATGGATATCTTTAGTTTTCAAGGATAAAATGAAACTGCCTTCAAGGGAAGAGATGGAGGCTGACATTAAGCGTAAAAAAGAATTCAATGAAAAACGATACGTTAAATCTGAAAGACATACCATTCAAGTGGACTACATAGATTATTTAGATGAAATTTACACCATGATGGGAGCAAAGCCAAACTTATTTAAGATGTTTTTCACTGACCCAGTCTTATTTTTTACCTTATTCTTTGGACCTTCACTACCGTACCAATACAGGCTACAAGGACCTCACGCTTGGCCGGGTGCAAGAAAATCTATATTGGAATGGAAAAGAAGAGTGATTAAGCCTCTGAAAAAAGACTATAATTCACAACCATATTTAGCAGAGCTTAATGTTCTCAAATATGTTTTCATTATGTTCATAATTTGTGCTATTCTTTTCTTGGGCACTGGACTTGTCTCTAAAACAGAATTTTAAATACATGCTTTATAATAAGAGTACCTTCGGCTTACAAAAAATATCATTTCAGTTTTTAGGTTGTAAATTCACGATGAATACATTTAAATTTGTACTGATTTTGTAGTTTTTGAATTACTTCGCTCACATCGAAAGTGCTTATACATCAGGAGTTTAATATATTAATGTTTAAATTGTATATATCGATATTTAATAAAATGAAATTATCAGAGATTGAAAGCTGTGTGTTAAAATTAGAGTGAAGCTCTTAACATGCAAGAATTTTAATTCTGTTATACAGTAATAAGACTCTAAGTAATAAAAATAAGACCCATTTCTTTCTGTTTTGAGTTGTTAAAAAAGTTCTTGAATTCTAACGTGGTCATTTTATCTGAGAAACAGAATCATGTTAGTTTCCATTTTTTTAAATTTAAATTTGCACAAAATTTAGTTTATATTTATTTACCTATGGAGTGATAGCTTTGTGGAAGGATTTCAAGAAGAACGTTTCGCATTCATTCTGAATGAGAAACTGCAAACTGCCATCTGTTATCGTTTAAGGCGGTGTAATTCTGTTCTTGAATCTAGTTCACGGCAGAATTATTTGGCTACGTGGAAATTTTTCTAAATCACGTTTTATATATGTATATATATGTGGAAATATTTTTAAATTATATTTATATATATATAAACATGATTTTAAAGAGCTTTATTTGTATGTTGCTTACATGAAAGACGCAATATTCATCACCTGTCTATGTCGTTACTGTTTTCATCTTATCAGCTTTTATCAGGTAATGCAATGAGGCTGAAAGATTTCTGAAAAATATCTTGTAATATCTAATATAAACACATAACAGCATAATTTCTTTACGAGTGAATTTCGCAAGTTGTGTTTACGCTTAGACTACATTTTGCAGACGCTTAACGGGAATAGTGGGCACAGCAATACCTGAATACCCGAAACTCTAGCATTTCATGAAACATTCTCATCTAATCTGAATAGCGGAACAGGAAACAAGATCTTGATGAAAAAAAAAGATCTTTCAGAGGGTAATAATTCATTTCCTTAAGAGGGTATATCCGCTCTGCAATGGAAGTGATAGATATTAAAGTGTATTGCATAATGAAGGACTAAATCTAGCAACGCTGCCCAAAACATTGCATTGCTCCATTGCTACTTTTTGTTGCGCGGCTCATTCTGATGTCAACAGATTACTAACTAAAACCGATTGCTGACGTGATGCAAGAAATTTCGTAGCTACAAGTCATTTTGTTCAAAATTCAGTTCTGTTTTCTAACACGGTTTGCTGTTGAAGGCTTGCTTGTTGTAGATGTTTTTGACGTTTGGTTCACGGAAAAGCGGATTTGCCAAATTATCTTCGGCAGATTGCACTGGAAACTTTAAATGGCATTCCAGCTAATGCCTTTAAGAGTTTTACTGACAGAAGTAAAAATGAACATGGGAATTGCGGTAGTAAGATCTTCATCAGAACACCTATTAATAGCTTTAATTTTAAGACTAGAAACCTTGATCACTGTTTTGTTTTTCATTCTGAACTTACAGCAATTGAGCAGGGCCTTAAGGCAGCATACACGTGCACTGCCTACAGAGATATCTGGATTTTGACCGACAGTCGCAGTTCTCTCCAGCATCTGCAAAACTGGCCTCGTATTGGTGATAAGACTTCACTCTCTATTTTGGCATTACTGCAAAAACTTTCTTCCCGTCATGAAATATATTTGCAATGAATCACTTCACATTTTGGCCTCAGTGGTAACGAAATAGCTGACGTCTTGGCTAAGGGAGGTACTTCAATGACTCTGATCACTGCCACCCTGACCTTTTTGGAGATCTGCTCGAGAGTTAAATCTACTGTTGCCTCTTCCTGGAGTTCTCCTCCAGTTCATGCTTGGTACTTTGCAGGCAACCGGGAGGTGCTATTGCCTTTTTGGGTAATCGGGATCAGCAGACTATTCTAACGAGGCTCTTAAGTGGACACTTGAAAGGCTTTAAAGTGACCAGGGAAACAAGATTTATCCCATCTGTAGGAAATGCAATGCTGATTATTTCACTCTTGGACATCTTCTCACCTGTTTGGGACTTATAAAAGAGGACATATTGAAAAGATCTACCTGCATATTAGAAATATTAACGTCTCTTGGACTCATGGAGCTGGTCTAGCTTAATGGCGATCCAGTTAGGATCAGTAACAACAACATATGTTTTTGAATAGAGCACTCACAACAGGCAAAATTTCAACAGGTGCTTTTTTTCAGGTTTGCATGGCTACTCACATGTTTACGATATAATATTAGGTAAGACTGGTATTTCAATCTGCTTGGCCTTAAAAGGCATATTCAGAGCTTATTGGAACTATTCTAGTAAAGTAATTTACAGTACAACCACCATACCTTAGAGTCTACTTGATTGACTATAAAACCTTTTGGGGAACACTAACAAATATGTTTATTAATAAAGAAAACATATGTTTGACATACAGTCAATTCAAAATTAATTTTATACAGAGCAATCAATATATACTAACAATTAAATGTGATAACATAATATAACAAACACAAAACATAAATCATGAACATCTTGTTCAGAATATCTCGTTCCCATACATAAAGAACACCTTATTCCGATCAGGCTCTATGAAACATAATTATACAATTTATTTTGTCATTTCATTGAATAGAAAAATAGTTTATCATAAATTTTCATTTCATTCAACTTGTATGTCAAATTCGCTTATTAGCTCCATTAATGATTTGACATTTCAAAGTAACGTTCACATTCAGAGTCTGCCTAATCTTACAGCCAGTGTAACTATTTTACTTACGAAGCATAATCGGTTCTGCGAACTAAAATTTCCAGTTATCTCTTTAAACATGCCCATTTAGATTCTAAACTTCAATGATTCACTTGAAGATCTAGCATATACCTCAAATTTGCATTTTTACAATTAATATATTCAGGATCTCTAGAATAACTCTTATGATTATGCCTGGATCCTGAATAATGAGCACATATTTATTATTTATCTTATCCTGACTGAAAATGCCTAAAACCTGGACACTTAAAACATCTTGTTACATTTAAATATTCTTTAACTGTTATTCAAAACCCATCTTGATAATTGATTTTCCCAAGAACAAACACAGACTTAAACTTTTCTCTTTGAACTTGAACAACCCAATGCCATCTACCATTTTTACCTTTTATAGGGAATAATACTTCAATATCCCCTTTCAATTAAAGATCTCATTTTGCCGTACTAGGGCATCCTTGATCTGATTTGATTTCATCTCACCATCTATATCATACAATATAATCTTTGGTTTCTTCTTAACAGATAATTTTTTCTGCAAATCTTCTTTCAATGACGGGTTTACCTTTATTTCTTCTTCAAGACTCTCAATATCATTTTTATATGAACATTCTATAACAAAACCACCACTGTTAACTTTTCATACACGAATTCTAGTTTTTAATTTTACGGGATCCACCGCTTCGAAAACTTGAGACTTAACATCTTCAGAAGATCTAACACTCTTTTTCGGATAGTCCAAAAAACATTTTCTTCATTCTTTTTTATCGTGTCCTGCTTCTGTACCTTCTTTTACTCTAAATTTCTATGTTCTTTTACAGTATCAGCAAATGTCGGAACAGCTTAATGCTGAAGCTTCAAAGCTTCCTTTCTCTCTTCTAATTTGCCCATCAACAAGCTAGCAATTCTTGCACATTTAATATTTTCTCCTTTAAAGTCAAACTATTCCTAGTAAATTCATCCACTGAAGTCTCTATCTTTTATAAGTTTTATTAACTCTTTCATTATTTTCAATAACTGGCTCTGTCTGTACCTCTTTTAAAATTACACCTGTCATCTTCGCAGAGTTCAATGTTAGACTGTCTAACTTAAACGACAGAGCCCCCATACACGACAAGGTCCCGAAAACCTGGGAAGTATGCGTTGAAAACTGAAATTCAAATTCTCACAATTCACTCTCCCAGTCACATAAGATGCTCCAACAGGATTTTACCTGTATGAGATTAACAGTTTGAGAGCTTTCTGCTACTGTATAAAAGTCAACATTACATTTTACATGTAAAATATCTGGAGATTTCCAGACTATGATTAAACTTAGATAAAATTGATAAACAGAAAATTTTCTTGGAAGTGCACAATTTATGTTATTTTGATTTTATGTTATTTTTACCGAAGTCATTGAAATGACTATATTTAGAGAAGTAAGGTGAATGAAATTAATAGTAAAACTACCGATCTAACAACATTATGGATTTTTCTTTATTGAATTAAGTGTACATTAATCAGAGTTTTAGAGTTAACTCTTTATACTCCATTATAATTTGCGTTTAGTTTCAGAGTATGGATTTATTAAACAATTTGTTATTAATAGAGTTATTTTAATAAATTTCTATATTTACATGAGACCAAAAGTTGTCATTATTTGGAACGGATTGGATTATCTAGATTAGGGCAGATAATACAAGGACTATCTGCCTAAGGGGGGAAATGTATTGGTGAATAACCTTTTAAAGAAAACTGGCTCGTACTCTTGTCACATATTGAAATATGTATAGTGGAAGAATTAAGCAATGTGTTATCCGATGTTTCAGTACTTATAATTCAATGAATCAAATGTCATGTTTCTGCTGATTTGGAAAAGCAAGTTGATGTATTATTAATTCAGTGTTATAAATAACTCTACCTCAGTAGAATAAACGTTTAAGAAATAAAAAAGTACGGATAATTACAATTAATGTAGAAAATGATAAAGAGAAAAATAAATAAGGCCCTGCACCAGTGGCTCAATAGTTAAGACTACTGTATACTGTTATTACAACTCAGGTTCGAACCTAGGCAAGCGGTCTGGCTGCATATTTGGTTTTGGGATTTTCCCCATGTGTAGCGTGAATACCACTCAGTTTTCGTATTAAAAATCTTCTAAGAAGGCATCAATTTACTTAGGCAGATAACCCTTGTGTGCTTTACTGCACTCGAATAACCAAACGCCTGAAATAATTAAATTTATGGTAAAATTTAAATTTTGGCTTTTCACTTCTAAAGCAAATGACAAATGAAAATAGATAAATTCAGGTAACACTGTAGTATACAAGTGTGAAGTTGTACAAGCGTAGTTCCTATCAAACAATTAGAAACATGGGCAACTATCTCTTTTCATCCCTCTCTTTCAAGAGATAACCTATACGGAAAGGAAACTTTATTAAGAAATATCACAAAATGGTTTCTCTTGCCAAGACTCTTGAATTTTACGCCAAGTAGCTGCAGGAATATTACCATGGTGATG